AAAGGGGGATGGGGGGGGGAAATTTTTTGTATTTTTGATATCGAGAAAAACTTGCCCGAGGAGATGGAGACTTTGATTTCGAAAAAAAAAATTCGAAAAAATTTGGGGTTGGGGGTGAAAGGGGGGGAAGGGGGGGAACCTCAAAAATTTGATCCGAGGAGACACACAAAATTAAAAAAAATTAAAAAAAATCAAAAAAAAATTGGGGGCGGGGGGGCGATCGGGAAAAGGCTGCAGAAGGCACAGCAAAGGCATATCTGGCGCATGGCCGGGCGAAGGGGGGGTTTTGGGGGCGCGGGGGGCGGGGGGGGGGTCGTGGGGGCCCCGGGGCCAGGGGGGGGGGGGGCACAGGGGTCGTGGGGGCACGGGGGGTGGGGGGCGTGGGGCACAGGGGCTGGGTGGGGGTCGTGGGGGGGGGTGGGGGGTGGGGTCTTTGGGGGGGGTCATGGTGGGGTCGGGGTGGGGTCATGGGGGGGGGTCGTGGGGGGGGGTTAAAAGGGGGTCTTAGCATATAGTGTAAAAAAGGGGCTTAGAAAGGGTGGAAAAGGAGCCCCCTCAGGGGGAGACCCCGGGAAAAGGAAAAAAAAAAAAAAAAACCCAGAGAGAAAAAAAAGGAACTCTGCCCCCGGGAGACCGCTGAGCCCCCCTTCATCACTACTTATATTTTAAAAATTTAATATAATTGTTGCCTAAATAGTCGGGTAAAAAACAATTCGTATTATAATAATTGATTTAAATAGCAGATTATAACTTCAATATACCTGAAAAATTATTTTTTTCCATTTTTTGTGATCAGTAATTGAAAATTTAATTTTTCGAGGAACATTTAAATTTCCCCATTCCCGAAAAAATTTTTTTGAAAAATTTTTTATTTTTGTGACTACTTACATAAAGAACAAAATTGAAAAGCGCATAAAACTTTTTCATCAAAAGGCAAAAGGGTCCCCCTTATGCCATGGCAGTTTCTCATCTCCGCCCCCAAAGGGAGATACCTCGTGTTTCTTTTTCCCTTTTTCAAAACGTCCCCCCACTTTTCCTTGCTCCCCAATACTATTTAGGCTAGAAGTTTAATATCCTCATTTTTTGATGATGATTAAAAAATATTTTTTAAAACATCTTCCATTCTTTTTTCTTTAAACAAATGTCCGGGAAATAGTGAAATCAGTCACTTGTCTTCGTCTAGTAGAAAATCATAATATACCTCTAATGTTAAAAAAATTAAGTTCAATTTGGCTTTTATCTCTAAAAACTTTACATTAGATAATAATCCATTAATAATTTATATCACAAGGGGCATTCCACAATTATTAATTTAGGCCACTTTTGTCATAATTTTTTTTAATTAATTACCCTAAACGCTGATCCCCCCGGTTTCCCCCAAACCCCTCCTTAAGCTTGATACACACTCAAAAAAGGCACTGTACTTCCGTTGACAGAGAACTCACAAGTATGTAGGAGAAACCAACACCACCTCAGGGTATTATATTAACCCTTCGCTGGTCGAAGGAACACTGCAGGGGGTTCTCCGGGCCTTTTTCTATATCCTCGATAAAGATTCTTATACCATTGCAACATCTGGCTCTTTATCTGAAGACGTTTCACCACCCGTGGTTTTTGTCAAAACAATACGAAAATAACAGTAGAAAAAGGGGTAACAGCCCTTACCTGGGGCGGGTATTCAATCCCGTTGTCTTATGAATCTAAAGCACAGAAGAAAAAATGTTTTTTTTTTGCTTAATCAGACGAATGAAGCACTGTCACAGGCATGCAGGATTTTCCCGGGCAGATCATGTCCTCAGGGGCCAGGGGTTTTTAATAGTTGTGGAGAGTCCTCTTACAAATCCATATGTTGCGTGCTGTAAGGTGTGTAACAGTATATATAATACCGAAAGATAATAAATTGGGGTACAGTAATTAAGGATTTTAAATAAAGGGGGACATTTGTTGCACAAATTTCTTATTATCAGCATTAATATCCCAAAAATTTTTCACACTTGTCAATTCTTTACAAACCATTATTTACATTCCTTAACAGTGGGTTAATTTTGTATCATTTTCAGCACTTTTTCTAGTGACTCTTTCTAGTCATATATGGGGTGTAAAATAACTTTTTAACTCCCGTTAAATAAAAGGGCACAGACAAAATAATGTGTCAATTTACTGTGGGGACCGATTGCTCTGCAAAAGCTTTTCAACGGGTTTTACAAATCCTTAAAATGATACGTTTTCCACGATAAAATTTGCACCCCCTGTCTTCTCCAAGATATTGGGGGAAATTCTACCATTTTTATTTAGGCTCTTGTTTTCTTATCTATTTATATAAATCCCTGTAATAAAAACTTAAAAATAGGAACTTGCAGAAGGCCCTGCTGTTTTCTTAGCTTCATTTTTTCTGCTGACCCTGACTAAAAAGTCTTTTTTACGTTGTGTGCTCAAGCTCTACTCGCCTAGTTTATAACTAGAGGGTTATTTCATTTTAAAGGTTTTGGGAAATTTTCATATTCCAAACTTTTTAACAACACTACCCCTTTGTTTCTGCATCAAATTTTTTGATTGAAGAGGGAAAAGCTGGGTTTATTTACGATGTATTTTTAAATATTTTTGGCCCATTAGATGCCACAAGGCCCAAGGAAAAACGAGAATAAGGGTTTTAAAGAATACAAATGGGCGTCAAAGAAAACTAACACAAAAAACGAAAGCTCTTGGGAAAGGGGTTTTTCATTTTCCCCAACTGACAACCCCAAAATCAGGAAATTTCAGTGTTTCCGACATACGGCTAAAAATTGTTATCCATGTTAGGGCCCCGTCAAGGGAACACAGAGCATGGGGAAACAGAGTACTGGCCAATCTAACGTTCTTGTGAAAAATTCGAAACTCGCTTTCTATTGTCCTTCATATTTTTTTTTCAATTTGGTATATCTCCCCCCTACGAATTTCAGATCACTTGCATGTCTACTTTTTTATTAACATTTAAGCTTTTATTAGGACTGTTGAAGCAACTCACAGCGAAACATTTTTCCTTTAACAAATGCCTTGAACTGCAAAATATGTCCTTTTCCACACCATAGCGCCAAACACAATTTCCCCGTGATCACTACCATGTCATTTCTATTATTTTCACAGCACTCCCGTTCCTTGGAATGTCACATGCACGTGTGTAATTTAAACTATTTCTCAAACTTTATAACATGAGCAAAAAAAAATGGAGGCTCAGCATATAAAAGTCAACTATTAATCATTTCACGAAAGACTGATACAGCTTTGTCAAAATACATTTGTGCATTTTGCGGAGTTCATGCAATGTGATGATATAAATATATCAAACTCAACTTTTTTCACGTATATTACATATGCCAGAAAGAACGCGAAATCACTGGCATTTAGGGGAAGATAATATTTTATCTCTGTCTGTTGTACACGTCTTCCTACTCCATAGTTAAAAAATCTTGGTAAAAACATATTTGTGAAGATATAGTAAATATTTAGGAGGTGAAGGAGTTGCATACAGATGATCAAGGTTGCAGGTATCTGGGAGAGTCATCTTGCGTAAGGCAAAATCTCTTAAAACCTGTTTGTTTTTCAGGTTGCTGGGGAAATTTTCAGTGTCAAACTGCTTAACATATTCCCAGAATATGTCTTTGACATTGTAAGGGGTTGCCATGGTGTGTGATACTGAAAGAGTATGGAAACCCATTGGGTATATTTCAGAGTATCCTTTCATGTAACGGCGAAGGTCAATGGGGTGTAAACTGCTAATATTGTAGATGTCGCGTATAATTCCAGCCTCCCTTACTAGCTAAAACCAAAGCAGTGTTAAATACACCAACAAATCAGAGTTGAAGGTGATTTTTCTATCCTTGCATTTATCACTAAACTTATTAACTTCAGAGAAATCTAGTATGAATTACTGTAAGTGTTCTGTCCGACATTAGTGAACTTGGAGTACCGAATGCTTCTAAGAGAAGTGGAGTGTGCTTTTTTTTTTCTTAGCTCATTAGCATTAATTTTAACTTTTGGGGATCCTTTCAAGTTCTTCTGTCATTTGTTGAACAATCTTTGATGTATGACTGTGGTCAACAAGTTGTCCAAACTGTTGCTTATCAATAGGGATTTTGCTGATGTAATCCTCCAGAAGCTTCATAAATAACCCCGTTATTGAAAGTAAAACGGGACCATCAACTATTCCATGATGGAAATTAAATAACACTTTGTTTTGATATGGGAACTTTTCTTTCACTTCCGGCCAGAGACAAGAGTAGTCAGATGAGAGTGGCATAAGTCGAACTTGCCACAGTGGTCCTTCACTCAAGTTGAATGGCGTGTTGACCATAGCCTCTCCTTCTTTCAATGAGTCTGGTCCATTGACAACCTGAAGGAAAACACAAACGAGATGATGATTAATTCACAGCTGAAATTGCCTGACATGTAATAATGGCAGATCATAGGCCTATGAGAGCTTCCCCTTATCACTCTTACCATAAAACTTGTTAATTACTCAAAATATAAATAACCTGAAGAAATTAATTAGTATAACTTCATGCTTATGTCATTTAACCACATGTGCTGTAAATGGTTCAGATAACCGACAAGTTGAATAATGAGACTTGTACAACATATGGGAATCTTAAATATGGTATTGTTTCTTCAAGCTGTGACTTCTTCAGTACAAAACAAAGAATAAAAATTTTCTCTGTATTAGACAGAAGATGTAGATGAATGAATGGTTCAGAGAACTGACAAGTTGATAAATTAGACACATGTGCAACACTAGAGTGTCTTATTGAGGAAACGTTTCGCACACAGTGGCTTCATCAGTCCAATACAAAGGAGAATGATGACTGATAAAGCCACTGTGTGGCGAAACGTTTCCTCAATAAGACACTCAAGTGTTGCACATGTGTCTAATTTATAGACTGAAGATGTCACTGACTGGCGAAACGTTTCCACGTTAAACATTCTCAGCTGTCGCACAAGTGTCTTATTATTAACTAAGATGCTTTGATAAACATTAAAACGTTAAATTAATAAACATTAAAGCTTGTGGAAAGCTTTAGTTTTGTCCGGAAAACACTAGTTGAGTCCCACCAATTCCGTTAAATGATATCTGTATTTTTGGTGGATGTAAAAACTGTTTATATAAAGCCGAAAGTGGATGATCAAACACATTAAAAAAATTTAAGTGATATGTTTTGAAACATTTTTGAATACCCAAGTGTGTACACATGTGACTTTCAGATTTTTTTATATAAAAATTTAGAGGCCGATTTTTTTCGTGAATATTGTATATTATTAATTTTCTAACTTTTTATTTGGCGGGTGGAAGGATAAGTATTGTTGTTTTATGATAACAATAACAACCTGATATAACTCAAATTTGTCATGTTGACCAAATATGTGTTTTCTTTTGAGTCAAATCTATCACCAGTATTGATTAACCACTGATCATGTCTCTCATGACTGCGTACCTATATTTTCCCTTTCACTTTTGGCATTCTATTCTAAACTAATATATTTTCCTTTTCGATTTGCATTCTACTAATTATATTTTCCTTCACTTGCATTCTACTAATTAAATTCCTTTCACTTTGCATTCTACTAATTACATTATGTGTGTAGCAACGGTTTCGTTACATGTTGGAAGATTCGAAACTTTGACGCAATACAATGTTACCTTAGTTGCAGCATGCCCTTTTACCCGAACATATTGTATATTTCGAGAAAATTAATTTAGTCCTCTTCAGCAATGTTGAATTAATATTTACATCTTTGTATTCTTGCTCTGAGCGCCTTCTTTATCTTCCTCCAATAAACTAACTTAATTAATAGTAAAAGGATCCCAAGGAATAAGTCACCTTCGTGACTTTTTTGGTATCCCAGTTCTCTACACATATGCGCTTATGTAAGATAATCCTATGTAACTGTAATTTGTGTATACCTTAATAAACTTAGTTACCACGAGGCAAATTTCAATCATAATTACCATGGAGTATACCTTTGAGGTGGTTTCGGGGTCTACGCCCCCCGCGGCCCCGTCATAGACCAACATCACGATTGATCTTTTTTTTTTTATTTAAACATACATAATAAAATATAATATATAAATACTCATTTAAGGGCTATAAATTAACACAATCCTACCTACAGCATAACAGCTACACACCACACTTACAACTCTGTGTGGTACAACCTCCCCCCTCCCTGCTCCCTCATCCTATCACTAACCCAACCTGTTGAGCGACCCATCAAAATTACATGATATGAACAACACTTTTATATACACATATCCCTCGAAAAGTACTTAATAATCACTACTAGACCATAGCAATGCATTGCTCTGAACATATAATACAGACAGATTACCCCCCCCCCGTGTTAATCCAACCACCCCACTATTTACACAACCTAACTCACTATAAATCAATGAATGTTTGCCTAAACTAAAGTCACACAAACAATGATCAAAACATTAATTATGTAAGTGTCCTAATGGTTCAGTACATAACAATATTTTTATACACAACAATGGTGGATATAGAAAGTCACAAAGACATAACAAAAAACTACAAATCCATATAATAAACTTTAGTCTCAAATCAACACATGTAAGCTTCTACACATTTAAAACATGCATTCCAGTGTTTAAAAAAGCAATAATACAGGCGCTTCAACCTATGACATTCAAGCCTATACTATACAGCTTATATGTACATAACATAGTGCAATTGACAACAGTACAATACAACATAAAAATATAACCATGACATAAGTAACACAGGAAGACTGTGCCTATCACACATCCTAACCACAGAAACCTATAACACCACTGTGTTGCCTAAACTTTATTTACACTATCTGAAGTACATTAAACTCTTTACTTCAAAACAAAGACTGAAAATTGCAGATCACCAGTGACGAACAATAATGCACAGACATTAATACAAACATATCACAGCATATCTCGACCCCGTGCAGATCACAGCATCAACACTATGCAGTGCAAGGCACTAAAAAAAAGTTGAGCAAATACCATGCAAATTATTATAGCAAAAATCTCCAAATTACAATGTCATTACCGTAAATCAATATTACCACACAGCAATATGTATAATAAGTGTAAAGTCCAGTCACTACAAAAAACTTGCCAGCTCCACAGTGCTAGCACCCGTGGTCCACATATTATTCACTACACACATCACGTCATCCAACACTCACGCAAACATTTTTGTTGCCATCCATTACCAGGGAGGCGACCCGTTTTCACCCATGAACTTCCTTACCTGCCAGCAACACTTTCCAATCAGACCCTCTCCCTCCCTCGTATATTACAAGTCATAATAAAACCTGTAACGTAAATTGCCTATATCCTCTGAAAAATCCTTCACCCACGCTCCTCCCTAAATTCCTTAAGTTCTACTTACCGTTTTTATAAACTTACCCGCTAAACACCCTCCTCTTCAACCTCAGTAAGCCTGTTTCCCGCAATTCCCCACACTTATAGATATAATCAGCCAGAATGTATCCCACATGTCTCTGAAGGTTTAAGAAACCAAACGTTCCTCCTCCCAACCCCTCCACGTCCGAACTTAATGCTCTGCAATACAGTAAAGTCCTTTACCACCTCCTATCCTATTTATCGCCGCTATTTAACCACACCCTTGACACAAACTGTCCCATGCATACATGGAAAATTCCCTCCCCCCTAAACCAAGTTCGCTACAACCCGCCCTGCTAAAAATCTACACAACCTACCTATTTGAACCGTTGCTGGCTCTCGATCCCACGCCATACCCCTCAGAACAGGCTTCACACTCATGCAACTCAACTCCTGTAACACTCCGTTGCAATCTGTTATGGATCCCTGGCCAACCCCCCCCCCCCAACCACACACTTTCCCTCATCACTCCCTTTTAATGAAGACATCATTTGGACCTCCTTTTTAATAAAAAATTTTTAAGCCCATCATCCCAGCCCCCTTACTTACAGGTAACATTAACCCACATCCTCTTTTATAAATTCACAATCACATGAGCTCGAACCCATCAAGAATTTAAAAAACCTCGAATATTTCGTTTATGCTGTCCATGTAATAGGAAACACAGCGCACGGTGCGCATACTTTGCTAAAACATTAAGATATTACGTAACAAAGCAACGCTGCACAAGGTCAAATAAAGGTCGCAAGTGCACACAAGCGTTCCCTGAATCCTTTCTATTACCATCCTAAGCGAGGTTTCCACGCGTCCCACATAGATCGTCTGCATAAATAAGTCCACTAATTTTTAAACGGAATCACCGCCTCCTCACAACTGCACACACTATCACCCAATCAACTCCTAACTCGCCCAAGCTCTCTACCCCATGACCATGATTTTATCTGAATTAACCCTATACCAGTTCATCCCCTGCGAACATTTGTACTACCTAGCCCCACTACCCCGTCCTCATTGTGTCCCATTGACATCCCCTCCCTGATCAGAACAGGTGTATGATCATCCCACATACCCAATTAAAACTGGCCAAACCCCGCAACCTCACACCCTTGTCCCACTACTGACACATAACGCTGCTCCATCAATCTATAAAAGGGGTCCTGAACGCATCGCCAAACAATGAAATTGTGACATAGACACCTTGCCTGTCCCTACCCAAACAATCTGTCCCACCTCCAATCGACCATTAATCAGTTACCCTCGCCATTGCCCCTCCATACAACCCTCAACCAACCCACATATTCTTCCCCCAAAACCCCTGACCCCTGAGGAGGGCTATCAATGCTTTCCCGGAACCACTCATATCATATCGCCCTTTTATTTTGCACAATCGAGCGGGCACACCAAACCTCCCTCCCGCCCCCCCTTTGCCCTACACGAAATCCCTAAGTATCCCATGCCCCTCCACCAGAGACCTCCCCTGACAAACCAAACTGATATTTGATACTACCGTTCCCCACCATTCACACGTGACGCCCGATTTCCAAAATCTCGCAAACAATTTATAAATCTGCGCATAAGCAACGAGATCGCCCAATGGAGGGTAAGAGGTAAATCTCGAAGCGTATGCTGCCCCTTACCCTTCGTTACCAATACAACGACAGCCTGCCTGCTTCTCACCCAGCTCACCTCTCTCCTTTCATGCAATGTTAATACCCTAACCAAAAATGCCTCAATAAGTCCCCCTATAGCTGCCTGATAAAACTTCTGCAGGAGTCCATCAATTCCCGCGGGCACATTCGCATTCCACTTTAAAGCCCCGCCATAGTTGCCCCCTCAATTATTTTCCCACCCATCTTCCCTAACACTGTATGCAACTGACCATACCACACCCCCCACTCCTGTTCTAAAAACCCATCCACTACCCCTATCTCGTTGCC